TTGTAGACATTTTTGGCRTCCACTAAAGCCGGTTTTGTCAATTATATCATTACTCCGAGTTAAGGCCTATGCTATGCTTCTAGCCTTTTTTTTAATACGATTTTGATCAAGTATTTTTTACACAGGGTATATGGACAGCTGCAATAAGGGAAGTGAAAGATGAGGTTGGAGTAGGTTCTTTTGAATTTTGTCTTCATATTAAGTAAAATTATAGAATTTACAGTGGACCCATTTTTGCCATCAGGTGTGTAGCTCAGTTGGTAAAGGAGCAGGGTGACATTACCCAAATACATAACATATTTAGTGGTAAAAGTCTTGGTGGTTCTTGCATGTAAAATCATCTTTTTATGGTTGAGATATATTTATATTACCTTTTTCCACCTATATTCCAGTGGATGCCAGTTGAAGAATATGYCAATCTGCACTTTGTAAAGAAGAATGAATCCTTTGATCGCATTGCTAAGATATGCATGGGAAAGAAAGATAACAAATATGTTGGGTTCACTGTCTTGCCTACATCAACTGCTACATCCGCTAAGAAGAGCTATTTGCATTCCAATTATCAAGGACATTTGTCTGATTCTTAAATTCAATATGTATTTAATGTTTTGCTAAAGTAAGTTTGAGTATCGAAACCGTTAAACACCTATCGGGTAAGCATTTGAGTAAACGGCCTTAAGTTAAGTCCCACATTAGGTATGTGTAGCCTTTATATTGCAGGGGGTCTATGAATTTATGTGTACATCTTATATCACTTTGATCCTGATTTTGAGTGAGATACATCGAGTATTTTTGAGGCGTCAATTTCTCTATTCATAATAAAATTTGACATCCCGCTGCATTGCGCCGGCACATAACTAATATATATATATATATATATATATATATATATAGGGTTGGGTTCATGTGAGACCAAGAGTTTTTCGTGAGACCCGTAAGACCAATTTATGTTCACTGATCAACTTTATAAGTTAAAGATCTAATGGTCTAAATTGCACGGTGGCAATTTTGTAACTATTGAGAAGTCTCATGGCGTTTGTGAATGTTCAAATCTGACGATTGTAGATCTAATCTAAGGGTTGAGAATTGGTCTTACGGGTCTCACGAAAAAGGTTTGGTCTCATATGATCCCAAGTCTATATATATATATATATTGAAGGAACAACTAAAGGATAATGAGGTGGCTTAATGAGCTTTGTGTGTTTATCAAATTTTGAAATGTGGTTTATGGGTTGGTTGTTTTTATCGTTCTTCTTACTATAAAAATCAAAATTTATGGTACACTTATTATGTGCCCACTTAATTGCATTTTTTAACCGTTTTAATATAATTATGTTCTAAAACAACGTTTATAAGTTAAATTGTAAACATAATTCCTACATATACATATCATAATAATAAAGCAGTGTTAATGATATTGTATCACAAATAAAACAATCATCAATATCAATATATGTATATTGAAAAAGAAATCAAAGGTAAATGATGTGACACAATGATAATTGAGTATTTTTAAATGTTAAAGGTGATTGACTTTCATCATCTCATATTAATAAGTAGATGCAAAATTGGAAGTAGGGAGTCAATATATTGGAGAGTGGGTACATTTATGCCAAATCATGAGGTTGACTCAATTTGACCCACCCTCTTTTTTCGAAAAAAAAATGTTTATATACATACTTTACTGAATATTTTTATATTAAGTAATAGAGTTGGTTCATTTTAACTATCCTCTATTTTTGCAAAAACTCTATTCATATTAAAAATTCTTTTATATCAGTTGACTTTAAAATAATAACTTTAAAATAATATAAGAAACAATTTATTGATTGTTTTAGTTTGTTGCAAGTGAAATAGAATCTACAATTATATTTATTATAACCAAACTTGATTATATAATTATAAGTAAAATAAAATAAGCATATATATATATATATATATATAAAGCAACATGTTAAGATATTGTCGTAAGTCCATAAGAATGTGATATATTCGAAGATGGAGGTAAGTGTCTGAAAGAAGGAAAATATGAAATTGAGATCAATCATCAATTAATGTCAATATCAATATAATATATTAAAAGATGAACCAAACAAATACTACAAAAAATATAATTATGGTTGAAATTAAAACCAGCCAAATAATACAAAATAAGTAAATATTTAAAAGAAGTTGGATAATTTTCAAAACTAAGAAAGTTTGTGCAACTTTTAGGTTGACCTGTTTTTTGGACAACTATTTTTATAAAAATTATATATACCAAAAACTAATATAAAGAAGTTATAGTTGTAAAAACAATATTTATATATCTATAATCTATATTTTTATCCATATAAAAGCAATAACCGTGGATAATCTAATGACAACTTCTAAGCATTATAAATCATTTTTTTCTCACATTATTATTTGCATCCCACATTAGATCAAAGAATGAAAGAGGCATGTGAGAGGTGTATACAAAAAAAAAAGGACCAACTTTTTTCTCAATATTGTTTGCATCCCGCATTGGATGATGAAATGAAAGTGACAAGAGAGAGATTGTTACAAAAAGAAATGACTAAAAATGGAACAAACATATTTTTCTCGGATCTCGACCTTTTGCTTAAGATCAAATATGTTTTTAGTTTATATATTGGCCACGGATCTTAGGTTTTTTGTTTATATCAAGTATGTTATATGTTCTTAGTTTGATATCTAATATATGATTTTTTTTATCTTACATGGTATTTTATTTTTTAGGGAATGACCTACTACTTGGTGATGTAGTTATTTATCCGTTGTTTGGGTGTTACTACTATCAAGGCTTGACGCACATTTCTAATTTACAATTCAAGTATTATAAAATGTTATGGTAAACTGTAGTATTTATTTTATCAGTTTAATATCTGATATGTTGGTTATCGTCCCCACTTGATACTAATTTTATTGTTTTATGTGGGAACATCCATTATCTTAGTTTGGTGATGTGGTTCTTCAAGCATCATCTTAAGCTCCCACTACTGTTGCTACAGCTTACTCACCGCTCAAATTTTCACTAATATTATAAAATGTTTTTTCATAACTTCAAATGAGATTTCAATTTGATTTGTTAAAAACCAAAATCATGATTTTGTCACCTTAGATGAGATTTCAATTAAAACTGTAATTTCAAGTTAAACAAACTACTAACGTTAGTCAAACATTTGTAGAGTACATTGCAACACCGTTCTCGAACATTGTTAGAAGAACTTAAATTAGCATACGGTTATAATATTGTTGTCAACTTCTCTTAAAAACTTTTAATGTTAATGAGTAGTTGACACACATTTTCTTAAACTTTATTTAAAAAATGACTTCAAATTTTAGTCTATAACATTCATTTTAAAAATGATATTATCTTCGCCACACAACTTACTGTTTGCAAAACGGCAACAAAGAAAACCTTGATTGTAAATGATTGAAAATTATTGAAAAGGTGAGTGGGCCCTGTGTTTTGCTTCAAGTTGGCACAAAACCGCCCAAATTTAAATCTATAAAGGTCTTCACACCTCAATGCCTCCAACTCCAAGTCTACAAAATAATTTCAAATTTGACCCCTACACTATCTATTTTGCCTTTATTAGCTTTATACAAACAAAATATTACCAAATTCATCATATCATAATTTTATAGTTTTTGGTGAGGAATTGAAAGCTATTTGTTTAGCATAAATATCAGATATGTAACAAAATTGATTTTATAGGACGTTTAAAATGTGAAAACGTTATAAAAAATATTACGTTTATAAGACCAAATTACAAAAAGAAACCCGATTGTTCTTTGGGCAATTGACATGTAGATCAAGATCGAAAATCAATCTATTATTCAACTAAGAAACCTGATTGTTCTTCTCAATATCACAGAGAGACAACAAACGGTGAAGATCTTAGCACACTGAAACGACATTAGGTTCAAAATATCTTTTTATATGCAGATAGAGATTAGGTTTGCCCCAGAAGTTAGACGGCCTGTGCTCTGCCAATGATTGCATTTTTATACATCTTTATCCTATCTTTATTTAACTGATTTATGAACAACGTCAAGAGCACAAACAGAACTGACCAGGTATTTAAGGGCATGGTTAATTAGTCCTCAAAAGACCTCGACATAGTTGAGATGAATATGTAGAAATAACAGTTAGTGTAAGGCTATATATCTCGATCCTTTTGAGCGCCTCTAACATCAACTAGTTCGTTCACAAAATTTATGTATCTCGGTCATTTTTTGTTGTAGCTAAAACTAGGGTTAAGTTGATCTGGTTTTTGCATTAAATGGTGTTTTAAATAACTTATTCAACATCAGATATTTTATATTTGAGATTGATATGATACTTGAACTGTAGAATGATCAACTTATTCGATCACAAACTATGTTGTCAAACACTTTCGAATGGCTGAGCCAACTCATCAGATATTAATAACACGCGATGAATCAAAATACTGTACTAGAGCATCTTCAACAGTTTCTCTAAAATTTATCAAAAATCATTAAAAATTTACATTAAATTCTATCAGTTTCTCCATTTTTAAGATTACAAAAATTAATTATTTTGAGTAATTTTAACAGGCAATCCAACTTTAAAAATTGAGTGGTTATTATGAAATTTTTAAAAAGTTTGATGCTTATATTGAACATTTCAAACTTCAGTGGCCAAATTGAAAATAAAATGAGAAAAATGTCTGAAGTCTTCGAGAAGGTCCAGCTATGTTGTTCTGGTCTAGAAACTTCCGAAAGCAGAATAAATTTGTAAAAAGTATAGGGACTGGAAGTGTAAACTTATTAAAATGTACATTTGTAATTGTAATTTGTAAAGCATTAAAGTCGATGGTCGTTTTGTAGTGATCGAAGGAAAACTGTCATTCCGAGTCAATGTCGTGTGCCGGAATTCTTCACGTGCATGATCTGTCGCCGGTCTCCCGCCGCAAACCAAAACTATATAATGGTAACGAAGAGAAGCCACCCAAAAATCGTTCTCCAGAAAAATGGATAATTTCTCCGTAACCTCGACAACTGCCGGCGTAAGAATGGACGACGAGGATTCCATCATCGTTTCAGCACTCCGGTATGTCATTTCCGGCGGTAATACAACCGCCCCAAGTGGAGTCATCGGAAAGTATTACTGTATTCAGCCGCCACCGCCGGAGAAAGAAATCTGCCGTGAGTGTGGAATGCAAATCCCAGACTGTTTGGGGTGTCAGATGTTCACGGCGGCCGGCGGTGGTGGAGAAAGGAGGAGAAAGAAACGGAAGAAGGAGTATAGAGGAGTTAATCTCCGGCCATCGGGGAAATGGGCGGCGGAGATGATGGTCCCAGGGAAGAAAGAGCGGAAGTGGCTTGGGACTTTCACGACGGCGGAAGAGGCCGCTAGAGCTTACGACATCGCCAGCGTTCGGTTCAGGGGAAAGACCGCCAAGACCAATTTTCCGGTAGCAGAGTACTCAGATATTGTACCGGTAGAAAATGAAGAGGAAAACGCAAACTCAGTTAATGGTCTATATCTCAATCCTATCTACCAATCAAAATTAAATAAATCTTAATTGTATATTAAATATATTAAAAATGTGTCGTATTTTGATTGGTGGATTATCAGATCAAGACGAGACTTCGAGGACATGGAGTTTGTAGAGAACGCTCATTTTTGTAAAAAGAAAATTGTACATGTTGCAATAATCTTTTAGTTCAATCTCATGCGGCAATTTTGCACTTGAATCGTATTATAAAACGTACATTTTAACTCGATTTAAAGAGATTATTATTTATTAAAGTCGAGTCATTTTGTTGTTAATTGTTTTTTACTAGAACTCATGGGATATATAACCCTGACATTATTTTACAATCTTAACATTCATAATCACAAAATTGTCATTGTTAAAAGTCGGACCAAGTCAAGGCTATACATGCTAAATAATGACGTCTCATTTAATAGGATAAAATAAATTTCTTTTTATTTGTTTATAACAGAAACAACCACTCATTAAAAGGCTCTTATCTCAATAAGAGGAGAGTTACGTACCATCGATCGTTGACTGGTGATCAATCCCTTTCTATACTTTTTTCTTTACTTTTTCATACCACTGCTACAAAATATACTAAAATTCTGATTTATTTTATTTTTTCATTTTAACCCTTAATATTTTTAGTTTTAACCCTTTAATTTTTTTAATATTTTCCCATTATATCACTTGTATTTTTAATTTTTTAATCTATATTATAATTATATAAATTAATTAACTTTAAATTATTACCAATTAATAAAGTATTTAAAATACGTATTTTTTTAATTATTTATTTGTATATAACGATAAATTACAATATTTTAAAGGCTTTGATTATTTATTTTAGTAAAAATTGTATTTAATAACTTTTTTCTTTAGAGTTTGATTCTTTAGAGATGGACGTCCACAAGTGGTTCAATGAACTGATGGTTCACGAAATAATATTTTTGATGGTATGGTTTTATCCTTTGGTAACAACAACACAACCAACCACTCAGTTAATTCTTCTCGAGAAATAATATATCAAATTATTTTTATTTTATTTCAAATCAATAAAAACATTTATATCGTTAAAAGTTTACATTTTCTATGATTGAGTGGTCGTAAGTATCAAACATTGAAAAATGTGCAATTTATAAAAAATAATATGTATTTTTTCCGTATATAATAATATATGTTAGTATGATAAAGGGTTTAAAAAGTAAGGGCGTAAAACCAATGATTTAAAATATAAATATTAAAAATTATTTTTAAAATTATGTAATTTATTATATGTAACTAATTTTAAAAATATTCGATATTTGGTTTGTTTTGTACGTATTGACAAGATAATAAAATATTATAATTTATAAAAACAGAAACGTATTTTAGTAAATATATAATTATATAAATAAATATAATAAAAGTTTAAAATGGTAAAATAAACAAATAAGGGTTAAAATTTAACAACTTATATAACTCTGAGGTCTAAATCATAAAATTATCCATTTAAATTCAACTTGGCAACCTTTTTGTCGAATGTTGGAGTTGACTAACGTTTACGATGTGAAACCACTCGGTTGGGCCCACCGAAACAAAAGGTTAGATAGATGACGTCAGTGATAGCGTCATGCTTTAATGACAGCCGCAATTTTAAATACTTTCAGGTTATTACATTTATAGCCCCCTACTTCATAGTTTTTAAACTTTTGCCACAATACAATGTTTACCGTGTGGTGGAGTACATCTTGATTTTGGGTCGAATCAACTTCGAAGAATGAAATGGTATGAATTGATTATCTAGTAAACTAAATAACAGTATTTTTATAAAATAAATGAGTTACTTTAGAATATGTATAATAAAGTAATTAAGAATTACTGGTTCTTGAGTTGCAGTGAGTGGATTGAGAGATTTTTTCTTTTCTTGTTCTGGAATATGTGTAATATGTTCTCATACAATGTTGCTCCAATCTCACCTAATTAGTGAGTGATCCCAGTTCGTAAAAAAGAACTAGAGATTAACAAGTTTGTAAAGAAAATAGAATTATGATATGACATTTCCGAAAAAAAGAATGGTTGCACATTCCGTCATACAGAAAGATCATAAAATAAATGACAGGTATAAGTTGTCACACACACACACACGCATCCACGTATGCGCACACACACACATTCGTCCTAAAGATCCAAATTTATCGAACAAAATATTAGATGATTGTTGGACGCCAATACGCCATGCCACCATCTCTTCGTCGACCACATTTCCCACCACCGAGAAGTACCAGTCTTCCTCCCTTCCCTTGCAAATCGAATTATTTTTTACACTGACTCGTCTATCCTATTGGGTTTTATGCTGGTTTTACCCTTCAACAGGAACGCTGCACCTAGTTGTCTTCGTTGATCTCCACCTTTGTCGCCTGTAAATTGAAATCCCAGAAGATGACACTACAAAATCCTCATCGGTTTCCAATTCTCAACCTTCATAGAGGTAAATTGAAACCTCAAGGGATGCCTGTAAATGTTTGACCCCTTTCTTCTCTTGGTATACATCGAAACCCCAAAGGTGGGTTTTAATATGCTGATTATCAATCATATATGTCGATCTTCTGCTATCTGCTTTTTGATTGATTTAGAAATGTAGGTTCTGATTTTAGGGTTTGAGTTTATATATGGATTTAACGTTTGAGTTTATATCACGAGGGATCTTGATACTTTTTTCAGTCTTTGAAAAATGGTTGGTTTATATCCAATGCCTCTGTATTCTGTTCGTTTTGAAATGATGTTCAAAATTTTGAGGAAATATTTTATTATTTTCAATGCAAGTATTGTATTGTATTCTTTTTCATTTGAGGTTTGGATTTCATCTTGATGTCGTCTGGATATGGGTTTGACCGTAGAAGATGGCCGAAAAGCATTGGGTTTGGCCGTAAAAGGGGTCTGGAAGCGTTTAATGAATCATATAAAAAGATTTTTGATTTTTAACAAAAAAATGAGATCGATATCTAAAAAGACTAATATCCCCCTTACTTAATAGATTTTTTTAATGGTTGTTAGAGTGAGAGACCAAATCCAGATGTTTTTACAGACAACGATAATCATTTTATATTTTCGAATTGTAACGACAAAAAATGTTATAACCGACTTAACTACATTAATAAAATTTATTATTTACTCTAACCCCAAATTATGATATAAAGAAAGTTTCTATGTAAAATAAAGATTACAAAAAAAAAATGTCCAACACGTGGATATAACAATAAATCATTAAGTCGAAATGTGAATCCATTATTTATAAAAACGTCGGTTTTGAAACTCAAAAATGAAGCAACCACAGGTGCATAGATGACGTAAAAATTGACGTCGATGACGTAAGCAATGCGTCTAGGAATGTTTACTTCTCCCACCCCATATTTTCACTTTATTGCATTTTCTACCTTCTATTTTACACGTTTTACCGCCATAAAACAAGTTTATCATGGCTGAGGAGACAGTCTTTAGCCAAAATGAAAGTTCCGGATGTACGGGTTGAGTGCCATGATCCATAACCTACAAACCCGACAACGCAAGGATCGTTGGGTCGACCCATGTTACTGTTTCTAAATTAAATCATATATTAAAATTGATCAGTTGCCACAATAGCACAAAAGGAAATAATATGGATTAATAATACTGCCATAAATGATGTTATATCACCGATGCCATGATGATGTGCCTGTGATACCTCGTAGTTGACCATTAATAGCATGCATGCATACATACATACATACATACATACATACATACATACATACATACATACATACATACATACATACATACATACATACATATATATAGGATTGGGTTCACGTGATACCAGACTGTTTTCGTGAGACCCGTGAGACCACATTTTTACATTTGAAACTTTACAGCAAAAACACTGTGAAAGTTTAAAAAAGTCGAACCTTCACAGCAAAAACACTATGAATGTTACCTTCACAACATTTTGCTGTGAAGTTTCAAGTATAAAAAACTGGTCTCACGGGTCTCACGAAAACAGGCTGATCTCACGTGATCCCAAGTCTCTCTCTCTCTCT